AAAACTAGACTGGTCAACCCTCACAAAGGAAGACATTACATCCTATTATGCTCAGACGAATACATCCTTAACTAATATTCATCTAGAGATGTAGTGATGTTAATTGTAAGGATGCAAAGCATAGGGGTGATATCTGCTCCACGTACAATGATATAGTAAGTGCTCTGTAGGAAGGCAGTAAGCCTTACTACAAAATTAACAATAAGACACATAACATCAGGCCTGGCTGGAATAGGTATGTAGCTGAGTATCATGCTGAAGCCTGTGAAGCCTGTGAACTAAATCATGGGCTATGGCAGGCAGAGCCAGATAAGGGTCTGTATTTGAGTACAAGAAGCTTACTAATGCAAGATACAAGTATGCTATTTGCTTCATCTGTAAAAATGAGCAAGCTATGAGGGCCGATTCCATGGCTAAGAAGCTGCTAAGTAACAATGCTATTGATTTTTGGAAAGAAGTTAGGGTTATTAATAACTGCAAAATATCTCTACCATGCACTGTAGATGGAACATCCGGAACAGACAATATTGCGGAGTTATGGCGACAGCATTATAGTACCTTATTCAACTGTGTCCAAAGTGAACTGTATAAGGTAGATGATATTGATAGCAATGAGTCAATGGTGATAATGCCACATGAGGTGTGCCAAGCTATAAACAAGCTGTCGGACAACAAAGCAAGTGGTGTAGATCATATTTCTGCTGAACATCTTAAATATGCCAGTGTGAAGACAGCTCCTCTTCTTTCTATCTGCTTTACTGCCTTTATGAGTCATGGCTTGTTACCAGACTCAATGTTGTCTGTTCTGTTAGTGCCAGTTATTAAGGACAAAGCCGGTAAAGTGGGAAGCCTAGATAACTATAGGTCCATAGCATTAGCCAGCATATTGTCAAAAGTTCTAGAAAGAATTCTGCTGGACAGATTAGATGACTCTATTAACACAGCAGATAACCAGTTTGGCTTTAAGGCTGAACATGGCACTGACTTGTGTATATAAGCCTTAAAGGAAATTGTCAACAAATATAGAGGTAATAATAACTCATCAGTTCTTATGTGTTTCATTGATGCTTCTAAAGCCTTTGATCGTGTTAATCATAGGAAGTTATTTGTTAAACTGAGTCAAAGAGGGGTGCCCAAATACATTGTGAGAATTCTGGTCTACTGGTATGACCACCAGACTATGCAAGTGAAATGGGGCAATAGGGTCTCAGTCCATTTGGGGTTAGCAATGGGGTCAGACAAGGTTCTTTTTAGCCTTTATATTGATGGTCTGTCCAAGCGACTGAGAGCCTGTAATACTGGATGCATGAATGGCAGTACTCTCG